CCGACGTGCTTCACGAAGTCGAGCCTTGCGCCATGCAACTTCGCGGCGCGAGAGGCCAGCCGGGAGGCAGTATCGATTCGTTCTCGCAACATTGAATCAAAAATTGAATTTCCACCGACTGCAACGCGACACGTCGTCAGGTGTCTCGAGGAGTCAAGAATCGCGCCAAAACCGCTCCGCTCGTCGTTTCGACAAAGGATCGACGTGCGCTTGTCTCTTGTAGAGATACACGCTTCACCAAGCGTTCGCGAGCGTCGACGCGACGCGACGATTTCCATTGTTGGCGAATCGACAGGAAAATCGTTCATTCACTCTCGCGCGATTTCCCGACGAGCAAATCCCGACCACTAACTCGTAACAGCCGCGACGGAACGTTGCGCAGAACGACGCATCGTCGCGAATGGTGTTTGTTTATGCTTGCGCTCATCGCGAGCGAGCGAGACAGAACGAGAGGGGAGACGCAGCAACAGGGACACCGCGCGAAATGGCCGCACTTTGTATGACATTCGTCGTCGCGTCGCGGCGGGCATTTTTCAGAAAATGGCTCTCACTTACCACCCAATGACTCCTCCAAGCACTTCGGCGTGGTAGACATCGCCGTGGACGACGCTCGCACTCGTACGATCACTGTATGCGTGTCTACGTAGATGTATGTATGTGTCAAAGTCGCTCTCTCTCTCCGCAGCTCCTGAGCAGCGCGTACGAATTGCTCGCGCAAGAGCACTCGACACTGGACGAACCGCGCGACAGAAAGAGAAAGAGAGAGAGAGAGAGGAACAAAGCACAGCGACGTGTACGACGCGCGCGAGCGAGACTGCAGAGGACGATGACGACGTGAGAAACGACGCACGGGACAAACAGTACCAACCACACACTTGCCGCCGCGACTGACCGCGATGAAATGCTGCTCCGCGGACAGCGCTACCGTGCTTTGTTTTGACGCACGTCGCACGCGCACGTCAGCCGCGCGGCTCGGCCAATCGCGCGCCGGCTCGCCACGATGTAAACACACCACGCGACTCAACGCGGCGTCCCGCGCGACGCGAATACGTGCCGTACCGCTTCGACTCTCTCAAGATCAGTTGCTCGATATCGCCGCGAAAATATAGCGATCGCTTTTCCTCGTTGTCGCATTTGCACTTCCCTCGCGAGAATGCTCTCAATCGACGAAACACGGACGCTGCTTGTTTGTTTACGAGCGATCTGTTCACAGCCGCCATCTACCGAGACATCAGTGAACTAGCGACACGTTAGAATGAAAATGCACAAATGCCGGGATAACTTTCGTTTATTTTTTCTTTTGCGATTGTAATTGATATCCAGGCTTGCATTCCGAAACGCTCTTTTCGTGAAGGAAATTGTAGGAAAAATCTATAATTCGCATGTTACGTAAACTACGGATGTTCAGGACAATTTTTCTCAAAAGACACAGTTTAAAATGTAGATTTGACAAATTCTCTAGTCATGCGTGCGCTCATATAAGCCGATACATCAATACTTTTCATGCTGTTGGTTATGACGCACTTCGTGTATATATAACAAAATAAAGAACCACAACGCTATATTAGTACCTTTGGAGCCGATGACAAGAAAGATGTCAACGAAAAGTGTCAACAAGACACAAGACTCACCTGGAGGAAATGGTCGCACGTCTGTGCGATTGCCATGATGCAACGAACGGCGTCTACCCAGACAGCACAGGACCTATGGATTAACATCCATTTCATGTCCATTTTACGTCCGTATGTCCAAGGATATGAAGTGAACATCCACAGGACATCCGATTTTGAACATGAAACGGATATCCTTATCAGTATATCTTATGGACTTTTGATATATGTTCGAGATGAAAGTTCAGAATATGTTAGAGAACGGTTTTATATATGTTTTAACGGTTTACCCACAAACAGCACACAATATTTATGATAAAGATTCATAAATATTTATTTCGAATTATTTTTTTTAAATATTATATAAATATTTTATAAATATTTATATACATAAAGAAAAAAGTATCAAAATCTTTATTCAAAATATTAAAATAATTTTTATTAAAATCTTTATTAAAATAATCTTTATTAAAATATAGACTAAATATTTTATGCAATATTTATAGTAAACAAAAAATAAATATTTGTAGTAATATTTTGTAAATATTTCTATAAATATTTATATAAAAAAATTAATGTAATTATTTATAATTACTAAATTAATGAAGAAATAAGAAAATCAAAATTTAAATTGGTAATGTATACTGAAAAAAATTCTTTAAATCAAAGAAATATATTTTGTTAAATATAATTTCTTTAAAACTTAAATATAATTTCTTTAAAACTTAAAAAAATATTTGTTACATTTTAAAAAACATATAATAAACATAAAGTAATATTTTTTTTAATTTGTAAAATAAACTGTAAAATTATGAATTTCTAAAAAAAAATAATCTCCTTACAAGAAGAAAACTTTTTAAAATTGTGAAATGTAAAAATTGTGTTTAAATAAATGTTTGCTTGTTTTAAAGTAAATAAAGTACAAGTAAATCATTTTATAAATATAAATAAATTATTTTCTAATATTAAAAGTATCTTTTTGAGTTTCAAATTAAAGTTTCTTTTATTATCAGAAAACATTCTGATTTTTTATATTATATTCTCTTCTTTTAAATAAATAATTTGTTTTCGTATATGGATAAAATATATATATATATACAATATAAAGCGTCTCTCAGTCAAAGTGACAATGGCGCAGGTGAGGTAAACGACTCCAAGAACCAGAGGTCTTAGGTTCGAATCTCGGCAATGGTAAACAAATTTTCAAGTACAATTTAACTTGAATTAAGTAACGTGTGAAACAATATAAAGTGAAAACTAAAAACATATATATTTTAGAAATTTAAGAAAAGTTTTAAAAAAGAGAAAAAGTATATAATTGTATATATTATAATAAATATTTTTATAATATTTATAATAAAAAAAATATTTATGATCTATTGAAGCTAATGTCATAAAAATACTTATGAAATATTTTGATAAATATTTATAAAATATTCAAATAAATTTTATAAATATTTTGTAAATATTTTATAAATATTTTGTAAATATTTTATAAATATTTTGTGCTGTGCTTTTAATTTACAAATTACAAAATTATCTTGTAAATTACAAATCCGGATGCTACTTTTATATGCCCATTGAACGTCTATCGGATATCCTGTGGACATGTCGGGGACTTTAACATGTCCTCGAATTTCATAAACGGATATCCCACAAACGTCCATTGAATGTCCGAAGGACGTAAAACGGATGACTTATGGATATCCTCAATATCCTTAAAGGATATCCATGTGCTGCTGGGTAACTAGAATTCTGTAACTCGTTATTGGAGTTAACGACAGTTTCGTTATCGTTGCGCAGCTTTTGTATACCATAGAAAAGTTGCGCAATGATAACGAAAATGTCGTTAACTCCAATAACGAGTTATCCCAGCACAGGATTACCATTAGAGTTGGGCTTTCACGTGTAAATTATGATACTCTACGTACTCTACGGCAGGCTACGTAAACTATGGCTGCGTTGCGATATTCACTGCCAGTACTGAAAACCCATTGATCTGTTCTTTCTCGAAGAACTCTTCTGAACTGTTGCACACTGGTGCAATAAGTTAGAATGAAACAATGTATATTTGTCTCACACATTCTAACTTACTGCACCAATATACACCAATTCAGGAAATCGGGAAAGGACAGTTCATGCTACATATATCACAGTTTTCAGTACTAGCAGTAAATGTGTCGGTGAGTGTGTCGCTTAAGGAACGTATGGCTTGCTCAAAAATTAAGTTCATATTTTCATATAATACCCAATAAACATACATGTCTAAAAGATGTCGAAAAGATATCTAAAAGACATCTTATGCAACAAAATGTTGCATAAGATATCTTTTCGACATCTTTTAGACATGCATGTTTACTGGTATTTGTTCCGAATTCTGATGTAAATTTATAAACGTTGTTTTTGAACAAACTCAGAGTTTTTTGAACAAATACAGATTTCTCTAGTTACATTCTTACCAACAGAGAATGAAATCTACCAATCTGTCGCACAATGAAATGTCGTGCGATTTGTTATCTCTTTTGAACATTACACTCACAATCAATAACCAAAACAGATGAGGTAGTGGTATAATTGCTTTCTTTCTCGCATGTTTTCATACAATTCGCGATACTCGACATAATTTGCATTGTCAGCATGAAAAACGATCGGGATGTGTACACATCACGTGGAGAGGATACGTAAGCAATTCGCGTATACGCAATCCCGGAGAGACCATAAGCCCGTTTACCATTGACTTGTATTGGCGAGCACATTATTTACCAACGTCGCAGCCGCGCGCTGCCCGGCTCCGGACGCCGGTGGCAGCACTGTGCGAGCGCTAATTTGCGTTGAACGACACGTATTTCGGCCGCCGTGAACTGCGTAAATTGCATTTCACACGACGCGACGACGAGGACGACGCTGCCACCGCCACCATCGCCGAGCATTACGACGACCACAGCAACGGAGCACGGGGAAGCCGAATCGATCAGAAAAGGTACGTTTGTGTGCATCCCGTCCCGTTCCTTCCCGTCGTCTCCGCGGAAGCGCCGTTCCTCGTTCATCATCATCGTCGTCGTCGTCATCGTCATGCACGAACGTGTGCACACGCGACTGACAAGGCGACGGAATGCACCTCGCTCGCACGTTCGCTTGCCTGTCCGCTCGTACGTGTGACTAGGCGATTTCGCGTCGATCGAACGAGAGCGATCTCACGTCCGAGAGATATGACGATATACCTATAACAGCAGTGCATACGCGCCTCTCGCAAAGATGGTCGCTCGGCGCCGTGAACGCGCGTCTGTCAAGCGACGATAATTCCCGCGTCGAGAGTCCGTGTAGCCATCGCGCTGTACGCCGTTAGCAACGTCGAGGAACGACGCTCGGCAGCGCGGAATCGTCCGGCGTAGGACCGCTAAAAATTCGAGGTAAATAGAGCAGCTCGCGCGTAGTCGGTTGGCCGGACGACGGCAAATCGAGAGATCGCGCGCACGCTTCCATATGCGCGGCGAGAAACGCCGGGGCACCATCGGAGGCAACGGCTTGGCTTATTGTTGACGCTCGTCTCGGCCGCGTCTGGCTCGTCGACCGGCTCAAGGTTGCGTTTCGCCAGGCACCGCCTTGAAAGTAAACTTCTGCCCGTCTGTTCTTTATCTCTTTCTCGCGCTCTCTTTCTCTCTGTCGCTCTCTCTTTCTTTCTCTTTTTCTCTCTCGCTCCCTACGACACAGGCAGGTTTTGCGTGGACAAAATCGAGCCGGTGTGAACTCAATTGATCGCCGACGAAGCCGCCCTATTGTGTGTTTACAAGCGGTACGCGGGTGCGCGGGTCTCACAAAGCGCGTCTCTTCGGTGCTCGCGGAGGAAGAGAGAAAGGACTCCTGCGTTTGTCACAATTTCTACCTGTACGCGTGCTGTACGCGAATGCGGACTGTGAGATTTGGTGCGAACGCTAGAGAAAAACGTGTTCCTTTGTCCCGGTGAATTGACCGCGATTTTTTGTCACGTATCGCCGCCGGGAGAGGCGATTCCCTCGACGATACGCCGAATATTGACGGGGAGGACTTGCAGGTAATTCACTGATATCAACGCCGTTCAATATACTGGCTATGAAAATGAAGATTCCGAATAACGGGTCCGGAAATGGCTATTACGGTCACGACACGGGTATCATTTCTTATGTGGAAAATAACATCGATACTGAAGCCGAGGTACAAGCGACAGGCGACGGGGATTTCTCCGAGTACCTATGGATGGAGAACGAAGAAGAGTTCGACAAACAGGTAAAGTAAAACACCCAATTATTGACATTTTGCAATCTTATCTGAACATCTTATCAACAGGTAGGTTAGGACACTCATTTATTGACTTAGTCATTGGTTGCGTTCAGCAGAGAAAGCTGCTTTGCAACTGTTGTAAAATTTGTGAATCTGATTGGAGTATGCTAATTAATTTAATGCTTAATTTTGGTCGAATCCAAGAACATGTATCAATCAGATTCACAAATTATACAACAGTTGCAAAGCAACATTCTCTGCTGAACGCAGCCATTGATATCTTAGGAAAACACTTGTTTTCTCATGCGACCAGCATTGTAGTTAAATTTCTTGTTTGCACATTGTGTTCAATAGGGAAAACTGCTTTACAATTGTTGCGAAATATATAAGTCTGACTGGTGCTCTCTTAAACTGAATCTGACAGTATACACCAATCAGATCTATGAATTTTACAACAGCTGCAAAGCAACTTTCTCTGCTGAATATAGCCAACAACTTCAAAAGAGAACTTCACCGCTGAAGCTTTGAACAAGCGCCACTGCTCGCAAGAGAAATCAGGTTTTTCTGGAATATCAGTGACTAAAGGGAATCAATGATTGAGTGTTTTATCCTACTTTTGGAATGTGACATTCCATGTGAATGTAAGGTATCTGGAAATGCTTCTCTCATGTCATGGAGCTTCCCCACAGGTGCTCCAACAATTGGAAGAGGAAGAACTGATGGAGGAGTGTCTAGAGGCGATGTTGGAAGAAGAGAGGCAACATGAAAGGAATATAAATTCGACCGCGTGGTCCACAGCTACGGGCACCTCCGACAATAACACAGCTGAACTCTGTCAACAACTCAGCGGTCTGAAAATGCAGGATGATCTTGCTAAGCAGGTACTGATCACAAATTCATTCTTTCCAGATCCTTTTAAAAAGAAAAAAAGCAGTATTTTATACATATCAACTATTTACAATTTACCATCGTCATCATTATGGTAAATCTTGTAAACTTGTAGAGCACGCTAAATCCAGACGCAGCTGAATTTATTCCAGCGATCAAATCGACGGCGGTAAGTACATCGTCAGAAGCCGTCGAGTCAACGTCGAAAATTTAACTTTACCCGCCTACGTTTAAGTCATGTAAAGTCGGGCTATACGTAATGGCTAGAGAGAGTCTACTATTTCCAATCGGACAATTGTATTAAGTGAATCGTGTGTAGAAGTTCAATGACTGTGACTGTACGTACAAAGATGTTGTAAAGTACGCGCGAGTTGGAATGTTGTGCTATAGATGCACCTCAGTCCGGAACTTAATATCAGTTACGGGGTGAAAAATATTGTGCTACCGAAATTTTTATAGACAAGAAAAATATCACGCGATATTGAGGGATTATTATATATATGTGTGTTTCTTGCCGTAATAACGAACCATCATGTATACAAATCACTCGTTAAAGGAAATTTGCAATTTATACATCTCTTGTTCAATGATGTTTTTTTTCGCGGAGAACAGGTTTTCACTGAAGTAAATGCTTATAGCATTTCTGTTTTCTAACTTGCATAAGTAGTTATAAATTACAATGTTGTATATTGGTCGAAATGAGCAGCAGTTCACGTTGAAATGAACTGAGAGAATGTGTACTAGATCCTTTATGGATTTTAAGTAAGTTTGTAGAATCAAGGCAATTATATATATATACGCGCGCGCGCACACACACACACACACATACATACATACACATACACACACACATTATCTTGTAAATTATGTTTATATCTTATGTATGTATATCTCGATCAGATCTTATCATGCTAAAGATTATGTACTCTTTTTATCTTTTACTCTTTATCAAGCTGTAAAATTTTCACATTTGACTTTTATGGCTTGATACGCATTATGTCTAATGAAAACTTTCCTCTAGAGAGTTCCTTTTGTAATACTTATAATAGAAGATGATGTTTGCAGAATTGTTAGCAGGACATGTTACACTATGATCGCGAAATATTGTAAGAATTATGTATCGAAGACAGCATATTGTTTTATAAGGAATATTTTTTCTCAGATAGGTGAATCGCAATATCAATTGCAAGCATATGTAGTCAGAGAAAGGAAGAGTTATTATTTGTACAAATGTATCGTTTTATCCAGGAATTTTATAGCGAAATCTCGAATATTGCGAAGTCCCGAAAAGTACTAATCTCAAAATTTGAAAAATAAGACAATGAAGACTACGAAAATTATAATTCTGAATTTAGCGTATAGAAGACAATATATGAAAGCCTCATGTGAGAAAATTTTATTCTACACTTTTGGACTTAGTTTTTCATGAGAAATTTTTCCTTTTCGATGATACTATTACGTTTTTTTAGCCGTTGTCGTATTTTTTTAATTTTTAGATACTTCTCGGGACTTGGCGCGCATTCACTAACAATTCGTTTAAAACATATACGAAAAACATTATCGAGTCCTGCTTCAGCATTCGTTCAACAAACTTAAAGATCTCAAGTGAAAGTCTTACTTAGGCTGTGAGGGACTCTTTTTACTACTCTTTTTAGTGAAACTGAGAATCAGCACATTGCTTACTTATTTTTTTAAACCGATTTGCATGAAATAATGTTTCAAAATTTAGGAGACTATAGATCATAGAATGTAACCTCGATGAAACATAATGGAAATAGAGTAAATGGTGAATGTACTTCAAATTAGCTTGAATAGCAAGAAGATTGATTTAATTTTTGCTAGAACATGATACGTATGTACTCCTTATTCAAAAGGACATCTCATATATTTGTATAATATTTAATATTTCCCCTATTATGTGATTGCTTTTTGAACAACTAACGAATGTAATTTTCAAGTAGCTTTACTCCGTGACTTTTAGTCAATTCAAAAAAGAAAATCGAAAATCGTGTAAATTCCAAATCAAACTTTTTGCGATCCAAAATTACGCGGTGGTGATTAAAACGCATTCGTGCCACTTACGTGATATCTGCCATTCTTTTTAATAATTACAAGTGGATATATAAATTTTAATAGGATCTATATATTGAGATATATCTATATATTGTTATGTATTTGCATTGTATACTTTTGTATATGGTAAGTGCGCGTTGTTTTTTAGTCACAACCTGGTTTAACATCAATATGGAAACTGTGATTATCAAGACAGCGTCACTAAGTTTATCGAATACGTTATATACACATACGAAGCATCACGTGTCAGTCCGTTGCAATATTTGCATAATTTACTTTAGAATTTTTTTCCCTTGCTCACTACCGTTTACTTGCATAGAGGTTACGAGATATATGGTATATTTATGATTTGATTTGTATATTTATGCCAAACAGCTCGTATCCTTTGTGGTTTATTGTCTTGTACACACTATTATTTATAGGCAGCATAGTAAAAATTATAGAAACAGCTAACACGATTGGCAATAATTGGCTGTATTACGATGTGTGTTACGTTTAGCAAAACAAAGGTAGTACAAGGAAATTATGAATTTGCAATACTCTGAAAAAATCAAATCAATACGAGTCTAAACCAGAGACTGATTTCACGTCCATTTTTACGTCAGCTTTAATACCCGAACTAGATCATATCCACCTTTTAATTTTTACTTTACAATTGCTAATTTAGATTCTGTATATATAGAAAATCGTTTGCAATACTATCTTATCCTGCAAAAACAAAAATTTATATATATATATGTATATATATATGTATATATATATATATATATATATATATATATATATATATATATGTATATATATATATATATATA